AGCTTACTGCCTTTGGATCCTCAGGACCTAGGTGCTGATCTTACTTCTCTCAGTACCTACCCTGTTTGGTCTTAAGAAATGTGCTAAAAAGTAACACAAGCACAAAAATCATATAGGCCTGTTTCCTTGGCTCTACTACAATAGCTTGGTGTGACAAATTTTAAAATTTTTCATTTTGTTCTGTGTATAAAGTGATATTCCTGCTGCTGTGCGTCTTTCAAATTCAGCTTACTGATATGAAACAGAGATGCTCTTCTCACTGCACTGCCCCAACACGCTCTTGCAGTATGAATTTATGCTAGTTTGGGAATGCCTTCAAGGACAAGAGAGCATATTAAATTATTTAGAAGCATCACAGTGGCTTTTAATCTTATTAGTAGAGCTATGATTTAACTTTTCAGGTAGGCTTTGGCTATTTACTACTCCTTTCCCTTTGCTAATAGTAAAATAAATAAGGGCCAATAACCGAAGGGCAGGAGATCTGTGTTGCACAGGAAGTAATCCATCCTTTCTAACTAGATCTGCTGTTACTACTTCCTTTGTAGTATGTCTCTTTTGAGTCAACAACCTTTCCTTTCACTGGTCCTTACCTGCCTTAAGGGACAAGATGAACAACGGGAAGGCCTCCTAACATCTCTTCAGAATCAAGTTAATCAGGTAAAGTATACTAGACTATTAAGGCAGGCAAGTATTTTTCTAATGGCATTCATTTTTTTTTTCCTTTCAAATACTGAGATTAATGAGATAACTGCATATTTTGGTTAGATGCAGGGAGACGCAATCCATGCCCTGTTCTCCTTCCTGGTGTTCTAGGCATCACAAGATTCATAGTTTTGTAACAGTAATTATGCATTGAATAAATGTCTGTGTCCTATAAAAATAATATTTTGTGCATTGCATGCAACTTTGACACATCTGCTCCTCTCCTGACCCTGTGTTGTGGGAGAGGTCCTGGAGCAATGTGTGTTGCATGTATGGTGTTAAGACAGAGGAACCTCTCTCTGGCTTCTCCAGCTCAGCCCCCACTTATCTGGAGGGTCTCAGCTTGAGTGCTAATTTCAAAATCAGAAGGCATATTGATTAGTGTACAAAGAATTTAAATTTTGGCTTTCTACCAACCACAGTTCTCTTGGTCACTCTTTGGGGGGATTTGCATTCTGTGTACTCCAAGGAAGCGGGGTGATGAAACTAGAAATTAGAAAATGTGGAATTGAGCAAAGTAGGTAGATTGGTCATGTAGAATGTTTTATCTTGCTACAGAGCCAAATGGAACCCTCATATGGCCCTCTATTTCTATGACATCATGTCTTTCTCGTAGATGATACTAGATGAATGTGAACAAGGATACTTAACTCATTTGGGCCTCTCATCATCTCTCGCCTTTAAGATCTAAGAGATCTATCCTTAGCACAGCAGCCAAAGTGATCCTTCTAAAATGTAAACCAGCTGTTACTCTGGTGCCCAAGATACTCCAGTGTTTCTTACTATGTCTAGAATAAAAATTCAAAGTCTGGGCTTACTGAGGCCTGCATGATTTTGCCCTGACTCCCACTTCTGCCTTGTTTCCTACCACTCATACCTTGCTCACTCCACTTTTCACACTGACCCCATTGCTATTTTTTAAAAATTAATTTATTTTAGAGAACAAGCAAGCATGATTGGGGGGAAGGGCAGAGGGGTGGAAAGAGGGAGAGAAGCAGACTCCTCACCGAGCATGGAGCCGAAGGTGGGCCTCTTACCCCACGACCCTGAGATCATGACCTGAGCTGAGATCAAGAGCTAGACACTTAACTGACTGAGCCACCAGGCTCCCCGCTATCCTTTGAACCTGGCAAGCAGATTCTTGTTGCAGCGCCTTTATATCTCTTTTTCCTTTCACATGGAAGGCTTTCTTCCTAGATAATAGGAGGATTGCTTCCTCATTTCATCAACTCTGTGCTCAGGTGTCACCTCCTCATGGAGGCCCTCCCTGATTACTTTCCAAAAATTGGACCTTGGTCATTCGGTATCCCCTTGCTCTGGTTCATGCAACTTGTTATTTTTATTTTTCCTGTTGATAGAATGAAAGCTGTGATACAGATTTGTGTTTACTGTCTTGGAACCTCACGTCCAACTTTGGAGTGGACTCTATATTGATGAGATTGAAGAAATGATCTCTTCTCATCATGCCATATGTACTTACAGCTCATCTACTGGGCAGGGTTACTTCCACATGTGACTCATTTTAACTCATAAGATGATTCTCAATAGTTACCATATTTCAGAGCATGGCAGAGGGGGAGGGACTTTGCCCTCGTCATCTGATTCTAGGGTGTTGCCCACTTGTGGTTTTGCTTTTCCTAAGCAGACCTTCCCTTTTCTAACATTAGTCTGAATCAGTGAAAGCACTCACTTTGTAGAACAATACACCACTTGACTGATGTCAAAGTTGTCATATTTTTCAAAATAGTACATAATTCTTTATCAATGAAGACAGACATGGAAGACAGCAAGCCTCCCCTTCAATAAAACATCAAAATAATACATTTGCTAGGGTTCATAGGAGGCCCCTAGAAATGTAACACAGAACTGATATAAGATGTAATTTTGTCTGTTCGGTATTTATCTTAGTAAGACCAGTGAAATAACATATTGAAAAAATAATCTTTTTTGTTTGTTAATCTTAACTTCATCTTCCTTTAAAGCATTTTCTTTAAGGCTTACTTAACAGGACTGTAAATAGATGAGAATTTTCTTCTTCCACCTAGAAAGGCAACGAGCCAGAAATAGCCAGATTTCTGTCTGCGTGGAAGGAAGGAAGAAAGCTAAAATTTTATTTTGCTTTGTTATTCGTTAAAGGAAGAAGTTATTTTTGACTGTCAGTAGGAAGCTCAGTATAACTTTAAATATAAGAAAAACAATCCACTTTAATAGGGTAAATGAGTTTTGGATTCTCCCATTTATTTGCTGGTTTAGATTTTGAGTAATTGGAGAGAAGAACGATACCAGGACGACATAAAAGCACGGCAGATGATGCATGAAGCATTGCAACTTCGCCTAAATTTGGTAAGGGGCATTTCTAGTACTTTCCCTCCATTACACGTAACCAAAATGTGAAAATAGCCTCTTGCTCGCCACTTCTTCTCTGGTCATCCCCTTCATTATAAGGTGTGAGGCCTTCCACTGTTTGCTTTGACAACTCCCCTGTCTCTCACGTGTCTGTCCTCCTTGGTGCTGACCTTCCTGTCTGGTCTGACTTCTAGAGTGCGTAGGAATTTTGGGGCATTGGTTTGCTTTCTGTACCTCCTACCCCAGGGAACCTCACGTTCTTTTCAGTTTGTGCTAAGAGTAGGTCTGAGAAGGTTACTGTTTTGAGATGAATTAGCTTTTATTATACTCATTTAAAAACCTCCATATAAAAATGTGCTGTAAGTCGAACTTTTGTCAGACTCTCCATCAGATTAGTCATTAAAACAAATTCGACAGGGAGGCTATACAGACATCGAAAATTTCTCACACATTGCACATTTCTTTGAATTTTTCTTTTCCCATTGAACAAGTCTCAGTAAAGTCTACTCTGGAGGAGGAGGAGGACTTGCCTGTTATTTGGCAGTTGTTGTTAACTTAATTCCCGCACATGAGTGAGTAGACCTGGGGCCAGGCCTCCTGCTCCTCAGTCTTCTGTGTTACTGGATATTTCCAAGTGTTAGTGTGATAACAGGCTTAGATGCAGTAGTAATTGAATAACACAAAGTCATAGATAAACAACTCACCTGGTTTTGATCTCTTCAGATTGGACTAAAGTTATATGGTAAAACTGGGTGTTATGAAAGATTAGGAACAAAAAAAAAGTTAATTTTCCTATTATTTAATTCATATTGATGTTGTGCCCACACTCAGGTCCCTCTTCTCCTCCTACCCCACCCCCTTTTTTTGAAGGACCAAATACCTGTGCTGAAGGAACCAAAAAACAGTGACAAATAGGTAGCTAGGTAAGAGAGAATGTATGATAACCCATAAATTAGAGTCTTGTTATTGTTGTCTGTCTGTTTTTTAACAAATCAAAGTTGGCTACATAAAGTGATGGGGATGGTATTTTCATTGTAATAGAGTTTTATTGTATTTTTTCTTGTGCCAGGTGGGTGGAATGTTTGACACTGTGCAGAGGAGCACCCAATGGACGACAGATTGGGCCCTCCTCCTTCTCCAGATCATTACTTCTGGAACTGTTGACATGCACACTAACAAGTATGTTCTTACTTCACATTTAGCACGCCGCATACGTGCCTAGTAGAAGCTTTGATAGGCTGACTACAAATCACCTCTTACTCTCTTAGTTACCATCAAAAGTTCTTTGCCTTAAATAAAAATGCTTTTAGTTAAGGGTATCTTGGTTTTGTTCTAAGGTGAAAATTATTTTTTCCCCCCTCTTAGTGAATTATTCACAACAGTTCTTGACATGCTGGGTGTTTTAATCAATGGAACTTTAGCCTCAGACCTATCAAATGCATCCCCAGGAGGATCTGAAGAGAACAAACGTGCATACATGAATTTAGTAAAGAAACTGAAAGTAAGTTTGTGACCTGCTTATATATTATGATCTCAGGTAGTTTATGCATTAGTTTTTTACTGCATTTTACCTTAATTTACTGTGTTAAGTTAGATGTTATGTGGTTATTTTGCTATTTGCCTTACCAGCTTACTAGTACTCAAAAGTTATAAGCATATATCTTGAAGATACTTCTTTAAAAATTGATATTCACAAAATATTTAACTTTCAAGGAACTCTAGAAATCTATTATCAAATGTATAACAAAGATGCCCACATTGGATTTAGGATAAATCCATGCTTGGACTGGCCCGTATAATTGAAAAGTAACCACTTACATTGATATTTCTAAACCCAATTCATTTGAAAAACCAATAATTCAGTCTTTGAAGTAAACTGTAAACAAATGGTGCAGAAAAGAAAAAAGATCAATATATCTGATGACCATAGCAATAAAATAACCAATGATTACCTTGAGGTCTGACCCTGGATTTGAGAACGTGTTCTGTGCGGCAGCTTCTGCCTTCTGCTGGCAACTACTACACGGGATTTTTGTCATTTCAGCACTGCGATACTTGTTGTGTAACCAGGGTCCCACTGTATGTGTTCTATTTTCTAGTTAAATAGAAGAAATGAAACATACTCACTACTCTAATTGAAAGCAGCATCATAGACCATGTTCAAGGTTAAAGAACATTCTGGCTATAAAAAAGGAAATGTTTCATAGAGAAACTTCCTTCTCACCAACTTTTGCCTTCGTTGTAATTTCTGTCCCACTTCTCTTATCTCTTTTTGTTTTGTTTGTTTGTTTGTTTGTTTTTAGAAAGAGCTAGGAGACAAGAGATCAGAAAGTATTGACAAAGTTCGACAGTTGCTACCTTTGCCAAAACAGACATGTGATGTCATCACTTGCGAACCTATGGGTTCCTTGATTGACACAAAGGGAAACAAAATTGCTGGATTCGACTCTATAGATAAAAAACAGGCAAGAGTAAATGTTTGTTTCTTGTATATATTTTCTTGTCTTCCTATAGGGTATATGAAATGCCTCAATTTTACAGTTTCTTGATTTATTTTTTTTAAGTGTAGTCTTATCATTTCAATGCCTTGGTCATTGGCATTATTGTATAGATATTCATTTAATGCTCTACATGAACTTAAGTGAATTTGTGAAACCTGCTGAAGGAAAACTAAGTAAAAATGTATTGTTAAGGGGCACCTGGGTGGCCCAGTTGGTTAAGCATCTGCCTTCAGCTCAATTGTGATCCCGGGGTCCCGAGGGTCCTGGGATAGAGCCCAGACCCTAACTCTCTGCTCAGCAGAGTGCTTTCTCTCTCAAATAAATAATTTTTTTTAATGTATTGTAAAAATAAAAGAAGGCAAAGACCAGTCTGATTTTACTTCAGAGTTGACAACAATATGTTTAGATGAGAAAATTTTGATTGATAAATTCTTCATGTAGTAAGCTATTTTGAGTAAAAAATATTTTTAGGGTGATGGTACTTAATTTTCTCCTCAGTTAAACGATATTTCATTGAACGCCTGTTTTATATAGGATATTAAACAAGTTTCCCCTAAATATGAGAAGAGTGGGTTGTTCTTTCAGTAAAGATGGAGCAACCACAGAGATGAAAGACAGAGCTCTTACCCTTAAGCAGAAGTAGACAATCAGCAGTGTGGTGAGATTTGTGTGTCATGGTACAGAGGTTAGGGGGCCCTGAGAAATTGCTGTCACCCACCCTCAGATAAGGAGTCAGAATAGGGTCCCCACAAAACTGACACTTGAATTATTTTGAAGGATTAAGAGTTAGCTGGGAAGTAGGGAAGAGTATTATACAGGCCCATCGAAGAGTTTTCACAAAGGTAAGAAAGAATGCGGCTCTTAGGAGAAATGCAATGCTCCTAATTGAGAGTAACCCAAGTACTCTTACCAGTGTGGCTGTGGAGACAGAAAAAGCTAGTGTTATGAGCAGGTTGAGTTTGTAGATTCATTCGGCTCTCTAGTGGTGAGACATCTAAAAACCATTCGGGTATGTGGTCTTTGCATTCAGGAAAGAGGTCCAAGCTCAAGACAGTATTAGGAAACAGTCAATTTATACATACATGGTAAATGAACCTTGATTTTGGATTAATCCATCCATGGAAGACTTGTGTTGATAAGAACAGGAGCATTTATATCTTATGGAATGTCTGAGTAGTTGTTTTTGGGGTCATTCTGAGGAAAAATATTTTCTTCAAGTTGGTATGCCTGGGAAAGTGCCAAAAGACATCACGAGTTAATGTTAAAAATAAGAAACCTTTATTTTCAGAAACAGAGTAACATTTCCTCTTCTAAACTTGGTGGAGAGAAGCTTGAATTAAAGGACTTTATTTGTACCTGTTGGTATGAGTTACTTCTGTAGTAGTATTCCTTAACTATTCAGAAACTGGCTTATTAAGTATGTGAAAGATTCCTATACTGAATCAAGCCCATACATGTTTGGACTGAAGCTAATTTGAGCCCAATTAGAGGCTGACTGTAACTTGACTCTGAAGTTTTGTTTTATCTCAAAAACAACAACAACAAAAACTAGGATACAAGGAGTTATAATTTATGATAATTTAATAAAGGTCAACATTGCAGTACTTTCCAGAAAGTGTTTTTTTTCCTAAAAGCAAAACAAAGCAATAAAAACGCTAAATGAAAAATACCTATTTATAGTAAAGTATACTGGACCATCTGGTGTTGCAGCCTGAACAAAATATCATGTGGCCTAAAGAAATGCAGAATTGAACTTCAGGGTCAGAATTCTTGCCGTGGCTCTCCAGTGATCTAGCTGGGTAACCCTGAGCCATTGCATTTACTTGTCTGCTGTATGCTAGGGCACTCTAAACCTCCCCACAAGCCAGAATGTTCTTTGCATCCATGTCCTAAGCAAGCTTGCCTCTGAGTTAGGGAAAGATCTGAACGTGAGCTCACAGAGCATTATCTCAACCACAGGGTCTCCAGGTCTCTACAAAGCAGAAGGTGTCCCCCTGGGATTTGTTTGAGGGTCAGAAGAACCCAGCACCTCTGTCCTGGGCCTGGTTCGGGACTGTCCGAGTGGACCGAAAGGTGATCAAGTATGAGGAACAGCATCACCTGCTGCTGTATCACACACACCCCATGCCCAAGCCCCGAAGTTACTACCTCGAGCCACTGCCCCTGCCTCCCGAGGAGGAAGAGGAAGAGCCCACATCTCCCGTCTCTCAGGAGCCGGAGAGGAAATCAGCTGAGCTGTCAGATCAGGGAAAAACCACAACAGACGAGGAGAAGAAGACAAAGGGAAGGAAGCGCAAGACAAAATCAAGCTCGAGAGTTGATGTGAGTAAGGGAAGTTGGGAGGCCTTTGGCTCACTAACACCTAGTGGGAGATTTAATCATGCCCAGAGTCTGTCCCTAGCAACAGGAACAGCATTAGAAGCCTTATCGTAATAGTTGTAATCCTAACAAAGCTCTGTCTTAATTAATAGAATGGCAAAGAACAGTGACTTGTCACAGACAACAGGATTATAGCTTCTGATTTTCCTTCCTCTACTGTTCATTACTTTAATTTTAGGCTTCTCTTGTGAATAATCTTTAATTAATATTTCAGTGCCTCATAATTCCTCACATTTGAAACTTGAATTTCTTAGATCCCTAAAAATCTCATCTTCTTACATATTTGTATTATCTCATGTTTAAAATATTTATCATATTTTGAGCAGCTGACACCTGTAGTAAATTAATGTGAAAAACTATTTGCATTTCCCTAACATGTCATGTAATATATCCAGTAGGATGTTTCTGAGATTTTGTATTTTAGCATTCCATCTTATTATCCTGTGTGTGTGTGTGTGTGTGTGTGTCTGTCTATGTGTGTATTCTTTAACATACTTTTAGATTTTATAAAAGATAAACACAATTTTTAAAAAGTTCCATTTCTTTTTTTCCCCTATTAACCTTACCTACGTATAACTGCATGTTCTTAAAAACAACAAAAACGTATGAGATGGTAATTTGGAAATAATTTTATAGCATTTATACAATTAATGTGTAAAAATGTCTTTACATTTAAATTCACCTGGAAAAATACTTGAGATTTTGTATAAAATTCAAGGGTATTCTTGTACAATGGAAGAAATATTCAGATTTGTTCTGAATATTTCATGATGTCATATTCAGATGTCATGTCTAATTATTAAAATTTACCTATGTCAGAACCAAAACTTATATTTTCCTAGCTGATATCTTGGTGATTACTATTTTTCTAGAAAAGACCATCATCACTTTTAGATGCCACTTGAATGGCATTGCCCTCTTTTCATATAGTCTTCCTGCCAATATTCCTTTGTCTTGAAGAGGTGCGCAAAAAGATCCAGACTGCCACTTCCTAAAATCTGGACTCTCCTAGCTCATCAGTCCACATGGATAGATTTCTGTTTTTTTCAGATACAAAAGTCCTAAAACTTTCTCATTTCCTGAGTGAGTCCTGGTAATGTCCCTTCCTCCCATACTACTCCTAGAACTGCCCCTACCCAGTGGGTTATATTTCGGAGATCCAAGGATTTGTTTTTCCTTTATCCTTTAGGGCTAGACTAAGAGAAGGGGGCTGAGGGGTGGCAGGGAAATTGAGACATCTGGATGTGAACCTTAAAGACTTTGCATCTCTTAGAAGGAAGACGAAATCTGGGTGGGGAGAGTGGGGTACAGGCAGATGGTGGAGAGTCTGTGACTTAAGGTTGCTGCCTTGAAAACTGGCAATAAAATATTGTCTAGGCCAGGGACTGGTCCTGAAGTATTGTGGGTCTTTCTGGCCTCATTCTCATCCAGACCCAACATACCAGCAAGGCTTTCTAAGGTGACCCAAGATGAAATGATCTCCAGAAACTTAGCATATGAAGATGTGGTTTCAGTTGTCGCAGTGGTCAGTGTTGATGTGCTTTTAGGATTTTAAAAACAAACTTCAGAAGTGATCCTTTTATATTTTCCCTCCACTTCTTAAGTCAAGTGCTTCCTGAGTCAAAAGTTTTTACTCAAATGAGTGTTTGGCAGAGAACACGCTGACACCCTTGCCTTCCATCTTCCCCTCTATAAAAACAGCCCTATCCACTGGAACAGGCACTGGCTCAAGTAATGTGATACTTTACATTCATTATCTATATAATAGATAGATTATCTATATAGTTTGTGCATTCATTATCTATATAGTTTGTGAAATTAAATAACTTTTTTTTTTTAACTTTATGTTGAAGGAGTATCCACAGAGCAACATATACCGAGTGCCTCCTAACTACTCACCCATTTCCTCCCAGATGTTACACCATCCACAGTCCACCTTGTGGGGCTACAACCTCATGGGTCAGCCCCAGCAGCCGGGTTTTTTCCTTCAGAATCAATCTCTTACTCCAGGTATGTGAAGAGAGAGTGAGGTCTGGTCACTCTGAGATGCGAAGTAGCTTGGCGTTTTCTTTACTTTTAACCTGAAATCATCACAAAACGTGGGAATTGCAAGAACTGAGTTCTCAGTTGACATTCCTGTAATCCTTTCCACTTGAAATT